ATAATGTATAAATGCTAAATGCTCTTCAACACGCAGCCACATTAATCTCTTCAACATAGTACACAAGCAGCATTTACAACTTAACAACTATTTATAGACTATACTGATAGGCTTATATAAATATTGATTCGCATTTTATACAAAACATAAACATTCATTCACTGCTACGTTAAAATAACCAATATTAATAAGAATCTTACTTTTTTCTTTCTTTTTATGTGCTGTGTCCTTTCAGGACGTAGGCGATCATGGCTCTCCACTTCCCCCTATCTCTTGTAGCTCTCAATAAGTTTCCTCCCGTCACATTCTGTCATCCACTTGCTTAATCCTTCCAGGTATGTCATGCGTTGCTTTCCCTTGTCTCTCTTTCCCTCTATTCGACCTGTGAGTATCAGATTCTCCAGGCCCTCCTTTCTCACTACGTGTCCCAGAAACTTTAGCTCCCTCTTCCTGATGTTAAGTATAAGTGTAGTTGTAAAGAAAAGAAAAAAGAAGAAGAAAAAAAACTGTCAACTTATAGTAGCAACAAACGTCTGCAATAGATTTCTTCTGTCTCTCGACCGCAACACTTTTAGTTCAAACGGTAGTCCGTCGTAACAGGCAACGTAGAAACGACAAAATGGGGTCACACATCCAACCTTCACTTCTCACCAGCAAAAACGCGTGTTTGTCCACCAAGCTCAGAAAATCTAATGCCACATAAGCGAAAAACAACGGCTTTTGTTCACTGAGAGATCTCTCTGATTGGTCACGCCATTCAGAGGAGGAAAGAACATTAGCATTGATTCTTAAAGTAGATTTTTGCTAACTAATATTCTTTTTTTTTTTTTTTTTATTAAAGGGGGAGAGGACTTCTACAGTAAAGTATTTAATACTACAGCATTAATGTAAATATCTTTTAGTACATGTTTAGTTTACAAGTTTAGGGCACCCACCGAGGCTCGAACTCACGAAACAAATTACTCTTTTTCGAAATCAGCCCGCTGACACTACGGTAAGCGGACAAAATAGGTTAAAAATAAAATTTTATGATAAATGTCTTCTCCTCTGGTTGACAAATAAAAATATCGCTCGCCGTGAAGATGAAAATCATTCAATCAACTAAAAGCGATCTAGAATTAATGGAGTTTGACAACCAGGAAATCGACAAGTTTGTTATAGAGCGGAAAAGACTGTAATTTTCCATGGTTGGTTAAACTAAACAATAAGTAATAATAATAATAATAATAGTAGTAGTTTAACATGACAATAATTTGCGTAATTACTCCCGTGGTACATATCAATACCATCATTTTATCTACTAGCTTTAAAATGTCTTGCTGCTCCCGTTCTTGACGTCCATTTGGTATGGTTATTCTCTCTCGTACAGGCTGGGTTACTTCTGTGAAACAGCGACAACAGATCCGCGTTGAAAGAATAAGCTCTCACTTACTTAGCACGCACAACAAAACACAAGCCAAAACAGAATAAGTATCTCTCGCCTTTTTCATTTTAGCGACACCAGATCCTGCAGACGAATAGATCGCGACCAATTTCAATTATTCGGAAAAACTTTGCTTTGTCTTTTACGTAATGTGTTGGTTATTTGTTGTTAGTCATGAGGCAGACCAGTTCGCTCGCGTAGCGAGTTCGATTATCACTGAGTGCCCCATCACTGTGTGTCAGGTTAACCTAAGTTTAGGAAATATTTCACTTTTATCTGTGTTCATATTTGTATATTCATTTACCTGACTAAGACTTTTTTCAGAATCTCCATTGGCTTTGATTTTCTCATGCCTTTGAAACGTTTACTAAAGAAAGCTTTGACAACCAGGATCGGATCCACTTCATCGGTTCTAATTTATAATGCCTTAATTTTTTTTTTTTTTTTATGTCCAGCATCCGAGAAACGTTTTTATGCCAATAAAATTTAATAAATCGCCCCTTTCCCCCACTCTTTCTTTATTTTTCGTTTTTCCTTCACTCTCTTTTCTTCTACCAACAGTGACCGATGATCTTAAATTTTCCCTGTATAATGTTTTGATCTCTGTGGATATCCACATCGGAAAAGAAGGAAGCTATGCAGAAAGAAATATGTAAAAATGTTTTCTCCATCATTAATTTAGCTTATGAATCTATGTATATGTACATATTTGTGTTACATAATCAGATAAAGATCACCAAGTGTCCCTTAAGCTTAATGTTACGTCACTTCCTCTTATCAAACTTATAAACAAGGGCAGATTACTCTGCAATTAGCCAAATTCCAACTACATTTAACATCAGCTTTATTTGAATTTCTACAGATCCTTAATCAGCCAGTCTTCTACTGAATTATTTCTCAACATGCAAACTTACAATTTAGAAACAAAAAATGTCATAAAGTATCAAAATATAGATGAAGAAAAAGAAACTTAATAAATTTAAAATATTGTTTAATTTTAAAAAAATTATTTCTGTAATGTAATATTTTTAACAAAATAAAGGTAGCATTTTTTCATGATTTTTTTTTCTTTTTTTTTTTATAAAGCAATTAGTTTTTTTCAACATTGATATGATTTTCTTTCAGCTTTTGTAAGACACAAATATCAGATTATTATTATCACTGAGTGTGGATGCCGACCCCACGCTTAGTAATCTTTTCATTTCTTTTTCAATATTGATTGATATTTTCTTTTATAACAATCACAAAAATTGGATATAAAGAAAGGAAGGAATATAATTTGGATACTGGATACCATTGTCTCAGCAAAACAGAAACTAAAAGAAAATGAAAAGATGGAAGACTGAAAGAATTGTTAAATATGAAAATGATTTTTTTCTTTGTAATTTAAGCAATTTACGATCTTGATCAGTATTCAGGTACGTTAATTTTTGCACAAGAATTAGTACTTAAGTCATTTAAAGGGTTGCTTAATTTTTTTTTATACTTGAGTCTAATAGAAAAGAAATACATTTCAATGTAACTCATCAGTGGCAGCAGCTTTGTCTTGTATCCAAGAATTTAATTTCTTTTTTGCTGATCACTTCCTTTATGATAGCGTTGATGACTAAATTTGCCTCCAGCAGGTTCAGACTAGAAGCTTCAAATTTTACTAAAACCTGTTCCCGTCATCGCTGTTTGGCTTTGCAAGATTTGTTTAGAGGTGAAACAAAATCAGCATAGAAGAAAGTGCCAATGGTGTGAATTTGTTTAAGTTGGACCTCAACCTGTCAGGAAGTGACCCACATACTTGATTTCATTACCTTTCTCTGTAGCACATATGGAATCAGATATGCAGAACCAAGTTATGAAACAACAGACTGCTGCTAACTGCAGTTATAATTTCAAGTGGCTCCTTCTGTGGGATGTCCATCATGCATAGCCCTCTTCATCCACTGGTTCAACTGTTGAGATCTGTTGTAATTGTCATCCATTACTTCCACCGTTGCTGTTGGTTCACACTTAGCTTGGGGTCCTAGTCTCCAACCTTGCCCCTACCAGGCATTCAGAACTCCCAACATCATTCTCAGTCAAGAGACCACGCAAGCCTCTTTCCCACAAAGAGCATCCATCAAAGTTAACTGAATTGGTAGAATTTTGTATACAGTATAGATTGAATAACATCTTTAATGATTCTTTTTTTTAATTTTACATTTTCATTCATTTATTTTCCTTTTGAATTGGTAAAGACACTGATGTCAGATTTAAGATTTAGTCAAATTTAAGTACAGTTGCTTCTATCTATATATAAAATTCTGTGACTTCCATTAATCTGTCCATCTGTCACACCCTCTAAAATAGTCATACATTGACTTATCAAAACCAAATTTTGGAGAGAAGTGCAAATAGGTAAGGGGGTTACAAAGTACAGTTGGTTTTACTAGGGTGTATAGCTTAGTTCAATAAATTTTCATTAATTTTTTGAGGAAAAATTAAGTTTTATTATTTAACATACAAATATTCCCACTAATTTAAAAACAATTTAATGACTAAAATAATAAATACTTATTTAATAAAAATGCAATATTGCTGTTTGCATATCTTTTCTTTATTTTTTATATGTACAAGAATCTAGTTTGCCCTGAGTTTGCAAAAATTATAAACAAATCACAAAGCCAAATGTTTCAAAAAGTAGGAATTTGGCATTTATCTATATATAAAATTCTGACTTCCATTAGCCATGCGTTGGCTTTCATTGATAGGTTTGCGAAACTGAACAAATCAGTTTGGAAATCTTGACAATAATGTTAGCTATAACTTCAACAATACTAAATACTGTGAGGATTTCAACATGTTGATGGGTGTTGCAAAAAAATTCTAGTATAAATAAATTGCTTAAAAAAATATGTATTAGTGAACCTATAAAAAGTACCATTAAAAAGAAAATACTGGAACAATGAGAATTGTTGGCACTTGATCTCCAATGAAAACAAGCACCTATTACTGGTATAATAATTTGATAAATACAAAAATATTGTGATAGTTATAATAAAATTACATCATAATGGATATGTTTATAATAAAACTTTTATATAATCTGTTATGCATTTTTTTAACCATTTCACCCAAAGCAAGGTGATAACAGTCTGAGAGTGAAAGAAAATGAGAAAATGTTAGTGAGGAGAAAAGACACTAAAAGATCAGGATTTAGGAAAACAGAAGATGGTGATCAATGTTGTATTTTAATGTTTGAAAATTGATTTTGTGAATTGAGGAAAGAAGCCAGAAGAGGCAAGAAGTGCAAGAGAAGAAATTATTAGAATAGAACTTACAATTCCATCTAGCCATTTTAATAGTAAAAGGATAAGACTTAGTTGCTAATCTAGTACAACATTTAAATTCATGAGGTCAATGTATCAAAGCAGAAAGCTCATTAGAACAATTGCTATGAAAATATTTATAGAAAAACATATGGAAGCTACATTATGGTAGATCAAAAGTGACTGAAATGAAGATGAACAATTAAAAACAAAGAATTTATTCACAGGGATTTTTTTATATACAAATAAAATGATTTCTATAATGTGGTTATGATAATTTATTGTTGATTGAGTAGGTCAAGTGTGATGCTGCTGAGGTATGCAGGAATGCTATGCTGTCTCTGGAGGTACACATCCATCAACTCTTTTGTCATTTTGGAAAAATTGGATTCAAGAAGTTGCATTTCTCCTGAAGATCCACGCTGTAGAATTTAAAAAAAAAAAAAAAAAAAAAAAAAAAAAAAGATATTTCTAAAAATAGTATTAAAATGGTTTTACAGAAAATTAATTTTATATGGCAAACTGTAATAAGTATAAATCATAAATAATTTTATTCTGCAATCTTTGCTTTCGGTTAATATAAATTTTCTCACTCTAAATTTTTTACAAAAAAAATTTTTTAACATAAAATTTCTGCTTCATTCATAAATGCGAGATGTCATATTGTGATGCTACTGACACCATTAAATATTTACTGTCATTTTTATGTAAATACATTTTGTAGAAATACTAAGAATAGATTTCCTGCTTTCCTTTATTTAGACAAATCTCACAAGACTTTGAAAATCTTCATAATGAATAAATTAATGTCATCAATGTTTTCTGATGTTTTGAGTATTTTAGTCAAATAACTGTCTTTATCTTTGTTGTTTTGGACCGAGCATTTTGGCTGATGCATTCTTCAGCCTTACTCAGTTGTACTCAGTCCTTAAAACTCAAAAGATAAATATATAAAAATAAGTACTAAAAGAATTCTAAAGACGATACAAAATCTCTACCAGAGAAATTTTTAAGATATAAAAACAAAGACAATTTTCTGAACAATCATTGGAACCATATGATCATGGTGATAGCCATTTCTACAATCTAGAGTGAAATTTCAAGCGTAGTTTATTTTTTGGCAAATTTTTAATATCATTGAATGAGTTTGTGATTTCATGTTCAATCTAAAAAGGCATTTAAATGTCATGCTAATTAGAAACTTGTCAAGCTTAGAAAGCTTTTAAACAAAAGTAACAAACATAGCTTTGATCAGAAACTTTAAAATCATCCACATAACATGCAGTTTTCTGCTTAAGAAAAAACATCCACTGCTGAATACATCTTATAATGTTTAACTTAATTTCTTCATGGAGTATCCTTGAATTTAAAAGAATGTATCCTTGACTTTAAATAAAGTTGCATTTGTGCATCAGTCCTTTATTAATAGGAGAGACAAATTAATTTCCTCAATGAAAATTTTGAAAAAAATGTACAACCTAAATTTATTCTAACCAAAAATCTTAGTTACCAAGTAGTAATTGAAAGACAGATTTGTAGATACACACTTGAAATGGTCACTTAGTATTATCCTGAATTGGATATCAAATTACAATCACTACTTTGATGACTTCAAAATGTTTTAGTTTTATGGGGAGCATCAAAGTTAGTATTTCAATAAACTGTCAACAAAAATCTCACACTCTAAACAGTTAAATGAAAAACTCTCCAAAATACTTCACTTAATACAGACGCCTTTTCGTAATAAAGGTTTCAGCTGGTGATGATGACAAATGTTAATTCAAAATTTGTGAGAATTCCTTTAGTTTCCTGTAAACTATTATTTTCTTAGAGATTCCCAATGAAGCACCAACTTAAAAATCCAAAGCCAGCACTGGGCTGTGAAGCAATCGACTAATGCTACAAAAAACTCTGTTAAACCTTTAAGTGTTTCCATATACTTAAATAGTAATAACTTGGGAAAATACAAAAGACCCATTTTCTAAACAAATTTTCCTTACAAAATGTCATCACCTTTTTGATTGGTATTTTTACACAATACAACCCTGTGGCCTGAACGTTACTTACTTTGAAGATTAAATAATCATCTGCAGATGCTGCATATATGTTGGTCAGTTTGTAGACATCAGTGCTTGTGATGTCCAGGCGATATCCAGTGAGACGATAGGTCATCTCACGCACTTCTTGACTTGTTTCTTTGAAAGTCTGCAGAAGGCGTTTATTCTTCAATTCTGCACTTTCCAACTGAGACCTCAGCTCTAAAACATTTCCAAAAATTCATGACAATTATTTTATAACATTATTATGAAAGAATTTTAAAAAATAACTTTTTAAGTTTAAAGATTTTTAGTTGGATTCATAACAATAGCCACTTTATTGACAATTTCAAGCACAAGATTTACTTTTTTTGAAAGTTTCCTTTCAATAACCAATTAGTTGAGTAATGAAAAACATTTTCCGGCACACTGACAACTATATGGATCGTGCATATCAAGTACCATTTGTTATTAGTGCTGTTAATAAAACAAATAAAACTATACTATATAATTTACCCACCCCAAAAAGACAAGACCCGAAAAAAAATTGTTATCCTCAAAGTACATCGCAGAATATGAAACAAGATTTATAACACAAGTAGAAAATTATTTTAAAATTTTTATTCTTAAAAAAAAAAATTTCTTATTTGTATTGGTGATTATCAACTGAGACTGACTTACTTTCTTACTTTCTGATGTTTTGTTGATTTCAAACAGACAATGTCACAGCCATGCTGATTGACACATGAAATTCTCTTCTCTTGCACAATTTTAGATCACCTTCAGGTTTTATAATTACAGCAAACAAAAACTTTAAACATTTGAAAAAAGAAGCCACATATTATCACCCCACCCACCGCAAAAAAGAAAAAACACAAATACACACTAGAAGAGATGCTGAAAAGTTCTCAAGCCTGCCAAGAAAATTTCAGATTTTTGACTATTTGGTTAAATTTTGAGAAATGGGTTGGGCTAAAAACTTTTCAGTAGTGCATCATATATGTTAATTTTAGATAGGATTTAAAATGCAATAAAACTTTGTTTATATTTTAGCTTTTCAGAGCATTATGTATGTTTCTTTTTGAAGGCAATAAAGAAGACAAGAGTTTTCAAACAATCCTTTAAAATGCCAATATCAAAAAAACTTTCTAACTACTGTCAAAACAGAAATAATATTAAAATGATGCAGTGGGACTGTCATAGTGCAGTAGTGGTTTGTTAGTGCTAGTACGAATTAGCACATATGTAAGAGTAAATGTCATGTATAGGCTTGCTACATAAGGTAGTGGCAATGGCATATGCACTGTAAAATCAATACTGACTGCATACAACTGCAATCCCTACTTGGAATATCATAACAATATGGCGTCACTGATAGGATCTTTGTTGCATGTAGAAGGTCAGGACTTTGTTGAAACCTGGATAAGGTGCTTCGCAGGCCTTGCTAGAACAAAGAAACTACAGGACAAAAAAATAAATGGATGTGAAAAAGAAATCACAGATTTATTTTCAGCAACAGCCAGTTTTGAAGCTGTTAGGAAGATTTCGTTGATGACAGCCAACAGAAGTATAATTGACATTTAACCAAATCAAAGAGATTATTCTAAAAAAAATATTCAATCAAGGGAAATGTTGCCATTGCCAAAACAACCAAGTTCTTGGCATTAAAAAAATAAAGAATGCAAGGAACTCATGAAATTTTTGTAGTGTCTACAAGACAGCAGTAGATATTGTGAATTTCAATGTTTAGGACAAGAAATGTCTACTGAAGAGGAATTCATTCAACTAAGATTGATAGAAGATATGTACAATACCTCACATAGATTCCAAATATTAGAATGTTGCAATTAAACCAAATGTCATTAGAGGAATGTATCAAATTTATACAACAGGAAGAGTTGATTGAAAATTCAATAAGGAAAAAAAAATCAACCCAAAATTATGGACATATGCATGATAAAGAAAATACTAAAATACAAATAATAACTATGATCTAGGAAGCGAGTCTATCTAGCTAAAACCAATATGAGTGATGAGTAGACAATGGAAGAGCAAGGCAGTTTGGACAATTCAAACGTTGATTGTGAAGAACATGAATTCACTAATAAACATGACAGATCTAGATCTCCCATCAAGAAAAATGCGCACAGATCTCAAGGAGAGAAAGAAGTCAAAATGAAAATACAAATAGACAGAGACGCATGAGATCAACAAATGGGCATAAAGTCTATTCCCTTTAGGGAGATGTAGTAGTGGTTGGTTATTGCTACCACTAAATAGCATATGTGTATGAGTAAACATACTACTCACTACATAAGGTACTGGCAATTGTACTTGGATTGTAGATTCAATATTGACTGCATAAAACTACAATTCCCTAGTGGAATATCATAACAGCTTGGAAGGACATGAGATTTTTAGATTTAAATACAATTGTGAACTGTAAAAATTTGTCACAAAGTCAAATATTGTTGTCACCTGCCAAAATATCAATTGCAATGGTTGATCCAAATCAAGATCAATTGCAAAAAGGTTTTCTGTTTTGGTTCTTAGGTAAGGTAACAGGTTGTCGTTTGCTAATGTCTATTAATAATTAAGAGATATCCATTCAAAAACATCCAACAGAGATTTGAATAATGTATAAAACATTATTTAATCAAGGGTAAATTGCTGTTGATAATTGAGATAAGCAGGTCTTGTATTACCATGGGGATTAAATTTTCTGACAGGGAAAATATGCCACAAATTATTATAGAATAAAAAAAACACAGGTAATAAAAATTTTACTTAAACAGTAGAAATATTCTACAAATGATACTTTTTGATGTGATTTGAATTTCATGTCATTTTCTTTCTTTTATTTAAATGTTTAAAGCCGTTCACTTTAAAATTTTCAGCTTAGAAAATTGGCAGTTAAATTATATAGTTTGAAAAAAAATTCAATTATGATCACCATACCACATGCTCAAGAAAGAGCATACCATTACGGTCACTATATCAGACAACCAAGAAAGAGTGTCCCATTAGAGTCATCATATCAGACAACCAAGAAAGAGTGTCCCATTACGGTCATCATATCAGACAACCAAGAAAGAGTGTCCCATTACGGTCATCATATCAGACAACCAAGAAAGGGTATCCCATTACAAATACCATATCACACAACCAAGAGAGATCACCTTGTTAATCACAAGATCATGCAATGAAGAAAGAGTGACCTGTTAGGGTCACCAAATTGCACAGCCAAAAAACAGCATCCCATTCAGGTCACTAGATCACATAAGTAAAAAAAGAAAAAAGATAGGAATTTCATCTTTAGATTTCTTTGACCTAATGATTCTTGATGTCAGGTCAAAGGTGGTTGGTTGAGTGAAATCATTTATTTTTAATTAGTATATCTTGTTTATTTAGAACAAATTTAAAAGTTACAAATAAAAATTTATCTCTTCTCTTAGAAGAGAATCCCACATAAATTTGCTGATATACTGAGAAAAAAAGAAAGTGTTCAGTATTACTTTTGATAAGTAGTAGCTGTGCAATGTAAATGTAGAAAAGTAAAGCCATGCTATTTACCAACAACTTCTTTGCAGTTACAACTCTCTTGAAGCTTTTGATCCACTTGCAAAGTGATATCTACTGATTGAGAACCGCTGTCTTCTAAGACTTTTACACGAGCACGAAGACGTTCAACCTCAGCCTCCAATTTGGCCATCTTTTCTTGTCGAAGCTGTTGGTTGCTAGAAGCAGGATTCATTTTCATGTGCAGTACTTTAGTTTTTCTAGGATCATAGTCACCCTGACAAAAAGACAATAGATTCAATAATTAAATCTTCTTTTGATAGACACATGCAAATGTCTTTCATTGGGCTTTCCCCTCTCTATTTTATATATATATATATATATATATATATATATATATATATATATAATGAAATGGACAAAGTCTGACAATTACTTTAAGACATTTTTGTTTATAAATTCTTTTTATAGATACAAATATTTAAGTAAATGTGTCTATAAAAAGAATGTATAAACATAAAAATGTCTTAAAATAATTTCATGTGTGACATCATTTGTTTACATTTGATATGCCATGAGCAGATATGAATGTACATGAGAGATTCATAGAAGATTGAAGTTCAAATACAGTAAATTTGACCTTGCTAACCAAACGCTCCTCTGTAGCCAAATTGGTTAAGGCACGTCAAGCTAAATGACAGTTCCAGATAGGATACAGGTTTGAATCCTGTCAGAGGACGAATATTATCTGTGAAAATTTCTAGGACATTCAGGCCAGTAAATGTTGTTTAATACTGTTTATTATAAACAGAGCATTTACTTAAATATATATATATATATATATATTATATATATATATATATATAATATATATATATATATATATATATATATATTTTATATTATATTATATTATATATATATATATATATATAATTATTATTATTATAATAAAAACACTTTTAAAAATAGACTTGTGGGTATGTCTTGATTAACCAATTAAATGTCAGATTTATGCTAAATAGAAAAGTAAGTTCAGAGGGTGGAGCTTTTTAACATAAAGCTGACATTTAATTGGTTAATCAAGACATACACACAAGTCTATTTTTAATTCTGACCTTATGTCCCCACCACTTTAACTTTCAGAAAAGAAGTAACACTTTGTTTTTAAATTTTCTTAAAAATCATTTAATCACCAGTTACTTTTCATTGCTTGAAGAATTACAATCATAGTATTGAAATATGAAAGCTTTTGTGTAGTGATTTCAAAAATGTTTTTATTATAATCTCTTATAATAAAAATATAATAATAATATATTGCTCTACTTTGTACTGAGCACTTTTTTAAAAGTAAATGCTACAAACAGTGGATTTTTACTCCATTTGTTCTCTCATTTATATATATGTGTGTGTGTGTGTGTGTTTGGGCAGCAACCTTTCTTTCACGTATCTTTTATTGAAAATGGCTGCCAAGAAGATTTAATTAATCTTTTATTGAGTTTTTCCAGCATCCTAACATTTTCCCGTTTTTCAGCGGTTAAAGAATATAAAAATTGTCCATAGTTAAAATTGTTCTGAGCACTTTTGGCTAGTTCTGTAGCTATTATCAAGGTTGCTGTTTTTGGATGTTGAATTTCAGTCTACATATCATCAGGGAAGCATTGTTGTTTGAACACCATTCTCTGCTATCACTGTTTAGCAGTGGAAACTGCATGTTAAAGGTTTTCTAAAAAATAAAAGTGATGCCCAATTCAACCGGTCACGCACAGCACATGACCTCCAAAAAGTCATCCCCCATCCCAGCACATACTCCACACAGCTAAACTACTATGTTGAAGTTAACACATTGAACTTCATCACCCAAAAACACATCAAAGTCACATTTTCTATTCTATCATCCTTCCAGTTTACATTTTCTTTGGGTCAAATTTGATTTTCAAACTTGTTACTTTTGGCAACAATTTAGAGAAACGTAGTTTAAACACATAGATACACATTGACACAGGATGCATAAAGTATCTATTTTATCAGCATGAACTCACCAACCACTGACTAGAGATCAAAAGGACGATTTACTTTTGAAATTAACATGTGAATAACATTTCTTCAATTGTTCAAATTTTAAAAAGCACTGATAATTTTTTCAAGATTCTACTAAAATGTATTTTATTACTGTAAAATAATTTATTTTTCTTTCAACTACAAATTCAATGAGTGTGAATTAATTTATCTTTGACAGAGATGTTTACTTGTCTCTGATGCCTTTTATCTTTGCTTTTCCTCTTTCCTTGTTGAGTGAGGGTAGCAGCTAGAAGACCAGCCTTCATATTCTTTCTCCCTTTCTTTCACATCACCTAGACAAGAAAATACAGAAGTAACTACGAGGTCATAAACTCATTCTAATCAAAGAAACAAAAACACCATTCACAATAATTGCCAATTATTACTGATGACTAAAAAAACACTTTTCTTAAAGGACAATTTTAGCTTGGAAAAAAAAAAGAAAAGAAAAAAAAGACAGATTTCTGGTATTTGGCATTTTGACTTTCTTGAATTCAGAAAAAGGGTGGTGTGGGCAGCCCAGTTTAGAAAATCCCAGGACTTTTCAAGGAGCTTTTTGGTTATTGCCGTTTTTCCTGGACTTTTCAAGCCCTGGAAAAGGCCCTGTTGATTTTCCAGGACTTTAAAGGTTTCCAAGATCTGTACAAACTTTCTGCTTACCTTTGATTTTATTAACACAGAATTATCATAATGCTTTGTCAGGAACAGTAAATTGTAACTTACAGTTCTGGACAGTAATAATCCATTTTATTCTTTTCTGTTTTCAACTATCTAAGTAGAGTCTGCAGTAAAACACCTCATATTTCAGGGAATACTTATACAAGTCCATTTTATGATCAATCAATTGGTCTCTTCAATCTTCCTTACAACCTAATAATTTATATTTATTGTATATGCAATTCAAATTCTCGTAAAAAATTGACCATCAAAATTAGTACAAGAATGCAATATTCTAATATGCAACCTAAACTAGCATTAATTTTTTTAAAATTACACTAGAATAATTAAAAGACATTTCATAAATTATTTTAAAAGATGAACAAGGGTATTTTTGAATATCACATCTATGCAGATAAAACAGACCCAGAAGTTATGGAAGATTTACAAAAGCAGAGAGCATAATAGGACACAAAAGAGTTTCTGAAGACAAATTCCTGAAATGAATGGAATATATGAGTGGCACTGTACTTGGAAACACATTACTAGATTTATTAAAACTTTGTTTTGTGAAAATAGAATACAGGGGAAGCAATTAGATAATCCTGAAGTCAGTCAAGTTCCTCTCTTGTATTCTGCTACTTTAAATGCTATTGCATTTCAATTTACTTTCAAATACAAAATATGATAATTGCACGTACTTTACAGTCAAATATCCAGTTTTTGTAACACAAACATCACCTGTCATTCATGGTAGTTAGCTTACAAATGTAATCAAGTTACTACCGAAACAAAATTAATGACATAATCGAACTACTAACAAAACACATGCATTGGTAAAGCCTGGGGTACCATTGATGAGTTATCTCTAGTGTGGAGGTCTATACTTCCAGACAACATGAAAAGGAGCCTTTTTCTAGCAACTGTTACCTTTGTTCTATTGTATGGCTGCTCAGCATGGACCATAAAACTGGAAAAGAGATTGGATTGAGCCTACATTCACATGCAAAGAGTGGATTTGAATGTTACTTGGAGTGATTGTATGAGAACCTTCATCCAGTATTAGACATCATCAAAGAGTGTACATTCAGATTTGCAGGGCATTGATGAAGAGATAAAGACAAAATTGTTAGTGACGTGCTTTTGTGGGAGCCTACACAAGGAAGATCTGGCAAAAGACAACAAACCAAAACCCGTATCAAGCAGATTTATGACAACATAAGCTGCAATCCCTCTGATCTGACCTGACAAATATGATGAACAATAGAATTCGATGGTGACAGAGTCATGATGATGATGATGAACAAAATATCTAAAGGTAAACTTTTTTTTTTTTTTGACACTGAATTGTATTTACCTTTCTTTCTTTCTAGTTATCATCATTAAGTTACTTAATTGTTTAGTTTGTTTATTTTACTGGCACATCAACCCTCTTGAGTCATTCAATGCTGAAAAAATTGATTTCTATTCAATATCTTACAAAGTTTTAAAATTTGTGAAATATAATTGGAAGCTAGTTGTATAGTTCATCTGAAGGTGAAGTTGTTTGGATTAAATTTTGGTGCATAATTTACTTTTCCTCAGGTAGGTCAAAATGGTTTCTTCACTTACATTTTTATAAAGATCTTTAAGGCTATTCACCTTATAAAAGGCATTTACAGACAGGGCCAAATTCGGCACAGTCCTTCACAAAATGTTTTACGGTGTATATCTCCTGGTATACTATGCATTTATGTGAATCCTTGTCTTTTAGGAGAAAAGAATGTGTGATATTTGATATGACCAGTTCTGATTATTGTTTAGACTACTTCTTCTCTTCAGTGTTATGATGTCTTAATCCCAAGTATAGGTTTGATTTTGTGCAATTTATTATTTCAATAAGTATTCCATAACTCTTGCCATTTATTTAAGATATATGTATTAATTACTGTTTTGAAATCTCTATGAGGAACTTTTGTTTCTGATATATTCATTTTTAGTGATTCATTAGCTGCCTTATTTGCCTATATGGCTAGGGATTCAGCAGAAGATGATGTGTTTTTGATTACAAAGTAAATTGATTTCATTTAAAAGTTTGACTACAATTGGGTTAGTCAGGTTTTTATACTTCAGCGATGTAAGGACATATAAGGAGTCTGAGAATTATAATGACTTACCATCTGTGATAATATCCAAAGCTAAGTCTATTGCCATAGTTTACAACTTCTCAGGTAGGCGCTTTTGAAATATATTTTTGTTCAGTATAGCTGAACATCCAACTTTATCAATATTTTTGGATCCATTGGTGTGTATATATGCTTACAATTTGTATGTTTTTAAGATATTATGAATTTTTCCCATAAATACAGTTTCAATTTTGGACTGTTTTGCCAGCCTTAAACAGTGGGCTGTTTTATTAACCAGGGAGGAATTTTTGGGAGAATAGATTCAAGTATTAGAGAAGAGTTTACAAAATGGTATACTCAGATTTATACTTTATATGTAGTCATCAATAATTTCTTTCATTTATCTACCCCTGTAATGTTGGACATAAGTTTTAATTTTTGATGATACATTTTAATTATAACCTGATTGACCCTTGCCACCACTTTCTAGTACCAATTTGATTAAATTTGGTTGGTATATGTGTCTGATTTTTTTTTTTTTTTTGCGAGGAAGGGGTTGTAAAGTTATTGTGTTTTTGGATGGTGAATTGGTACAAGGGCTTGACATGACTAGCTGATGGATCAGATCAGATCGGGCCTCTCTGACCACCCATCTAGCCCAAATAAGGATCAAATTAGTGTGTTGGAATTCAGAAGTCTTCTACCAAATGCATGAGGTTCTCAATTACCAGGATCCTGTCCTTGAGAATCATGGCTCACAACCCAGGGCAAACAGGTGGCTTCTTTGGGGAGGGAGAGGTCTCACCCCACTGCAGAGGTGCAGTTGGCATATTCTGAAGCCTCAGCCAACAGGGTGTTACTTGTCTTCAAAGAACTTTCAGTTAAAAATATCTCAAAATGAGATACAAAGCAGAATGATTGAAAATACTACCTGCAAATTTCTCTGTTCAATTCTCATTTCCAAAATATTTTTTTCTTCAGTCATATTTTCCAGTTGTTTCTCCAATTCCTCAATCTTTTGCCTTTAAAAAGAAAGAATAAAAGAAGAGAGTTGGGGTATTATATATTTTACAAATACCAAAGTAAAAACATGCAATCAATCAGTCCAACAGTAGAAAGATAAAAAATGTAAAGACAAGAATTGTCATACTTTTTGGATTTGCCAATTACTAGGTAATAGAATATTTCAGGTTGATGTCTATAGCAATATAATAAATTACCAGGTAAAATATTTCAGGTAAATGTCTATGCATCAATAAAGTTTTCTGAAACTTATTTAGAAGGAAATGAGATTTTGCCAAATGCTGAAAATATCTAACCAAGAACAATGTGTATAGATATAAAATGCAAAGAAAGTCAAATAAAAACTGGAAAGAAGATGAGACCAACAAAATCCCAGATATACTCAAGTATAGTGCAAGTTTTTATGTATTTGCACTATACACAGGTAATTCTTTTCAAGAGGTTAAAAATCATGCATTTTTGCTAACCAGTTGTACTATACACAGGTAAATTTTTTCGGGGGGGGTTAAAATTCATGCAAAAAAAATTCAGGTGTCACACTATACATGAAGTTGGCTTATACACAAGTATATTTGGTACCTTAGATATGTTGCACTTCAACAACTAAAAAATTAAATATCAGAATATATCTTTAAAAGTTTTTAGTTTAAAATTAATCAGTTGAGCCATAACACAACTACATTTTTGGCTATAGAACATAGTTTGCTCTTATTAGCATAATTATAAATTACACCCCCAAAATATTCAAAGTGAACCCCACATTAATGTCAAAGGGACATGGGCTAGCCAAGTGGTTATATAAAAGGAATGTTACTTTACCTGAATATATTAGATTTAAAAAAAAAAAAAAAAAAAAAAAAAAAAAAAAAAAAAAAAAAAAAAAAAAAAGCCATTTACCTGAGCTGTAATTCTATCTTCTGGTCAAGGACAGTTACTGTTGGTTTTGAAGAAGTGCAAGGTAACTGTTGCAAATCCAGCTGCAAAAACACACAGGGAACATATAAAAGAAACGCTGGGCTCTTTTATCCTCTCAGGTGTGTTATATACGAAACAAAAATATAATCTATAACAAACATCCTTTCAACTTGATAAATTATATTTACACTTCTTTATTTGTTTTTAAAAAATGTTATATTGTGAAACAAACATTTTTGCTTGCTTGTACATTCTTAAGATTTTTATCTCATAAAAAACTCATACAAACACAATAATGCAAATTTAAAAAAATGAATGGATTTAGATTCTTATAGAATTTGCAAAGACATATTAACAAGCATTGTAAAAATTTCTATACTATTGATTTCATTATTTTTCTTTTCTCTTGTTTTTTTTTGTCCTGGTGAAAATAGTTAAAGAGAATTAATAGTGCTTTTAAAAAAAGAAAGAAAGCAAGCAAGTACTTCTTTCTATACATTAGAAGAACATTATAGCCAAACACTAACAAAAAAAAGAATGAGATCGATAGTCAGAAGTAAAAATTAAATTTAAAACCTCACAAAAACATCAGTGGCAGTGATTTTGTTTCATAATATTCCACAAACAAAAATATCACTATAGATACAGTTTTTCTATTTTTGGATATATTTAATAGTTCTATTTAATATAAAAACATGTAGATTTTTTAAATAGTGGTGATTTTAGAGAATATGTTTCACTAATTTACTCCTTCTCCTTGATTAATAGATTTCATTCACTGTGCAGCTAGGCATAAATATGAAAAAAAAATTATGAACACATTTCAATATATAGAGAATGTGACGATCTTTTTACAGATTGACAAATACTGTTACCTTTTGTGTATTGGTATGTAGCAATTGTTCTTTGACGCGATCAAGTTCTGCCTCATTGCTTTCCAACGACGAGCGGAGATTTTTCACCATCTCTTCCAGAGCCTGAATTCGGGAACGAGCCATACTTTCCGAACTCATGATAGTCAAATCATTATCATAGGAAGCAATTATTTGTTTGTAGCCATCTCTTTCCTGGAATAGAAATGTTAAACTGTTTTTTTTTTTTTTTAATCTTTATACAATCACTGTACCAAAAGGGTTTTTCAATAGAAAGGGATGATTGTTTTTTGGGGTTTTTTATTATCATTAGATTTTTATATAATTTTTTTTAATTAATATGTCTTCAACTGTGATTGTACCTGACAATGTTTTTTTTTATTATTTTTCTATCACTGCAAGAAATTATTTTCTTCACAAAACTGTTTCAACTGCATTGTTTCACTTGCCTGAAGCATGATTTTATTCTACAATCATATTTTTGCATAAGTAATTTATTTATTTTCTTTATAATATTGTTGTGGGTATTGTCCTTTTCTTAGCTAAAGATTTTAAAGGTAAATCAGTAAACAACATTCAAAGATGCATGTCCAGACATCATGGGAATGACAAGTGATGTTATTGTCAGCCACTCCCATTAATCCTAGTAGTTGTAAAATGCAAATTTGGAAAGAAAGAGACACAAAGGAAAATCATTCAAAACTAAGTACAACCAGTAAATATGACTGAACCATTTAGTGTGACATACATAGAAAACAATTTATAACAAACAAATAATAAGGTAGAAATGTATGCATGTTGTTGTTCTATAAAATGTAGAATTGTGTAAGTTGTTTTTTTTAGGATAATGAAATGTATCCTGGTTGTGAGAGCTCCATTTTGGGAGAGATTAACACATTGATCTATCTAAAAATGATGAACTGACAAGAAAAAAGCTGAGCCTCATGACCAATATCCAGAGGAAGAAAGGGGCTTACTTCTCCTTTTTATACATTCCTGCAAGTGATTCTGATTGGCTCTATGGAAACCTAAATAATATCTATTTTTGGCCATGGAAATAAGCGTGACAAGCAAATTTTTTTTCCATTAAATCTAATTTTATTTAATGAGGAAACAGATTGATTATTAATAATTTAGGAAGTTACAGAGATGTGAATTTGATCTTTTGATTTATTATAAGTAATTTTCTTAAAAAGCAAAAGAAAAATATCTTATTCTTTTATTAAAAAGAAAATTAAATTGTAATTTAAAACTAACAAAAAAAAAACACAATTATAGACATAAATAGTATATCTGACACAAATATATGAATGATATAAACATAATAAAATTGTAGAAGAAAATTAAAATTGTCCTAAATAAATCACAACCAAAATACAAGCACATATTTCCCTCAAATAATTGGCAAAATTCACAATTTCCAACAAAATAGAAATATTAATTCATGACAATATAGTTATAAATCTTTTTGTACCTATCTATGCACAAATAATAAACATATAGTATACAAGAAAACATAAGTAATGCATTGGTGAATGCAATTTAGTCTGTTTCAGTGATATTTGTGCTGCATTACTTTGGAAACTGAACACATTTGAACAATGAAACATTAAAAATGCACAGAATCCTTTTAAGTTCAGAAACACCATCAACACAGTCTTTTCTGAAGCTTTCAAAAGTAATAACAATAAAAAATTCAAATCTGTTGGATGATTTATGTAAGGTAAAAAGAACTGGCTCTAAACAAATTTAAGGAATGAAAAATTCTAAACAAATGCTGTAAAAATTGTTGGAAAAAGAATTTATTGTGGAAATTTGTCTCTTTGGTTGTCAAATTTGAGCAATAAAAGAATAAGTTATTTAGAGTTGATTAGAAGAATTTAAAAATTTTGATGGTAAGAGTCATCTGTTCTGGAACATGTTAATCTTCAATCTTTTAGAGAGTCTTGATTACAGTTAATGCAGTCTTTGCCTCCCTGCTATCATTGAAGCAGACCAATAAAAGAATATCAGGATTCATCCCAAGAGCATGAAGAACTACAGCAGTATCAAACAGGATTTGAAACCAGTCTGTCAATTTGTATTATATTACTATTAAATAAGCATCAGAATGGACAATAACATTAAGCAAAAACTGTTAAAAATTGAATTTAGCATAATATAAGGCAAATAGAAAAAAAAAAAAATTAACCTACCTTTTCTAAACGAATACAACGTTTATTCAAAGACTTAATGACATCATTATAATGTCTGTTGGCCGTCCCTTCATTCTCTAAATTTGATTGTAATTTCTGGACTTGATTCTGCAAACGTTTTATCTCATTTCCTTGAGTGTGGATACTGGAAATGGAAAACATCAGTTTTATTTGTTAGATTTTTCAATAAATACACACATCTTCAACTGATGTTGATTTTCAAACTTTGCTAAATCTGCGATGAAACTTGAAACAAATAATTACATAATATTGACATTAATGACTAAAACCATTTTACCAGTATATTGATTATTGTATATGAAGCCAAACAATTTTAAACTGTTATAATCTTTTAGAGGAAACTTCACCTGGGAAAAAAAAAATTATAAAACAAATTCTTTTGAGAATCAAAATGTACTGAACAGAAGAAAGTGAATAGCATTTGATTAAATGGTGAATGTCTGGCCACTAAACATTGAGACTGCATTTATGTCTCACTATTTATGTCAAGCACTAATAAGATAAATACTTGATTCCTTCACTGAATGAATTCATGTTTGTTACTCTGTGGATTGTTATGAAATGATGCATTTGCACTTGACTGGCTTAATACTGAAATTGCAATTAGAAAGTTTGAAGTTCCATCTTTGCTGACAATTCAGTAACATTGGTTATCAGGAATTCACCTAGGAGAAGGAAGATCTTTTAATTCAAATCATGGCAAAATGCCTTTACCTGAATAGTCTTGTAAGATCAACAATAACTAAAAAATTTTAAAAAATGCTGGCAAATTGCCAGTCATGTTTTTTAACTGCTTGCTGATTAGCCATGAATTTTATATCTACAAAAAATATTCAAAAATAGTTGAGCAACTTACAGAGTTTTTAACTTTCCATCTTTTTCAAGAAAAATGGCTTCAGAGTTTTGCAAATCTAACAATTTCTTTTTTACAGCAGATGGTGTCCTTAAAATAAAAAAATGCACAAAAAACTTTAGGGTTAAAAATCAAATATTCATGAATGTAATCTTATTGCAAACTGATTTCAATATATTGTAATTTGAAAGCTCAGAACTACCTACCTTCCTTATATAGATTATACATGAACTATTTTTTAATATCTGTGGATGCATTAAAAATTAATATTTAAAAATATTTAAGCACAGACCAAATAAGTACTATAGATTATGCTAGTGTAATCTGGAATTAGTGGAATTGGCACACAGGGTTCAAATTCCAGCTTAGTCTGTTGCATTCACTTTCACACTAATGCTAATGGAAAATACATATCTTCTTCTCCTTCTTATGGGTTAAATAGCATAGTAGACTGTGTTCTCTAGCTTTGGGTGGAAGCCAATTTAAGAGAAGGGGAAATTTGAATTCCAAACTGTGGATAAGGCAACAGGAAACTACTGCACTATTTTCCCCCAAAAAAGACCTTACAATGCATAGACTATAAAGAAAAATAACCTGTGAGAGCCATGATCGTCTGTCTAAACAGGACATGATATTTAAAGAAAAAAAAATGAAATTTAAAACAGGTGTCTAACTTCCTGAAGCATTACACCTCCCAACTATTTTTATCATATTTAATGAGGTGGTACAGGGGAATGACACATATCACAAAGTGTACTGAAAATTGGTTAAAATACATGGCTAAACTCCAGTGTTTTTAAAGATGCATGGTGGAATAAGTGTTACCAATAGAGAAAATGGAATCAACTAAATGAGTTTATTTTGACTGAAGCTTCTAGTGTTCACTTTACAGTAATACCCCTGAGAAAGGCATGAACTCACTTCTCTCTGCACTCTGTCCTAATAACAATTATCTTGATAAAACATGTCCCTATTTCAATGTATACTGGAGGAAACTACACTGCCATAAACACCTTAATTTCATAAGGAGAAAAAAAAAAGAAAGCATGTTACTTTCATTGTCAACCCCAAAAGAAGACATATAATCAGAAACTATATTTTTTTTCTTCTCTTAAAGTTCACAAGAATTAATAACCAGGTGTAAATATAAATACTCACAAAGGGTTGTAAATGCTGCTACCATCTAATGTCTGCCATTCCTTTAGTTTCTTCTTTGCTTCCTTTAAATAAAGAGTTACAAATTGTAATCAAATACAGGTTAACAAAATAAATCTGTCAAAATTACTTAAGAGTCCAGATTAAAAAATGACCTCCAAAGTTAACTAATGTTATACCAGATAACCTTATGAGATATTCAAAATAACAAATCTAACAGAAAATAGTTGATTTCATTTTTCAGTTTTCAATACTTCTTTATAAAATAAATTATGTCCATAATATTCTACCTACATATTTATATATTCAGATAAAATATTGTCTTATTGTAATTTTAATTAAAATAATATTGTTACTTTGGGAATCCTGGCTGAATCAACATCAAAATAATTCCACTTCAGTGTGCAACAAACAATTATAGGGATCAGGATTGTCCTGATGTGTTCCATTTAAGTGAAATTCATTGTATTACTTGGTTTTATGCAACACAAACTTGTCTATCACTACAAGTTGGTGAGACAAGTCATCTTGATTAAATTCCTCTTTTAACAAAATAAGAAGAAACCTCTAAAGAATTATTGAGATGTAAGTGGCCTTTAGATCTCTAAAAAATAATTTTCAGTTGTACAACACTAGATCATGTTGAGTTAACTAAGCTATAAACATCACACACATATCCACAAGATCTTCCAGTAAGTGTACTTTGGTTTTCTAGAAATTATCAGAAATATCTTGTAGTAAATAAATAATTACATATGTTAAAAACAAAAAAACAATGGAAATGTCTGCAGTTTTTCAAATTATGGTAAAATTGCATTGATTGAATTAGAATATAATTGTGTTGGCTTATATTTCACAGCATTACAAGGTCTGATGCTACTGTCTATATTAAACTTTAACATAATACATTAAATGTTGATTGTTACCTAATATTTGTCAGCCTACCTCAAATTCCACCTCCATTGAACAATACTGGCTCAACTGTTGCTCATAACGAGCAAGTTTTTTCTGGCAACTTTCTAATTTTTCTTTCAATATGGCCGTCATCTCTTGGTTGTCTCTGCAACAACAACAAAGACAAAAAACAAACTTTATATGCTGTTTTGCTGCCTTTAAGCACAGTTACGATGACATACAGAAATTCTAAGGTATATTTTACAATTTAGAAATAGTACACAAAGAAATGTATTTTAATTTGGCTAAAAAAAAAAAAAAAAATAAAAGAAATAAGATTTAGTAATAACTTATTTGTAATCTTTATGCAAAAACAGCAATATCTCTGATTCAAAAAGACAAAATTCCATTTGAAAAAGTTTTTTTCTTCTATTTTTTGGATTCTTCCCAATTCTACACTTTGCAATAACCTGGCTATATATTTAAAAAACAATTCAATACTGGTTGTGGCAATTATGCTCCAATTCTATTGTAAGTTTACTGCTAAATTTGATTGAATTTCAACCCAAGAGAATCAATAATAGATCCATAGTAAGAGAGTTGTGAAAGCAGAAATAATGTGTTCTATGAAGAAAGTTTATGTATAGAAATACTTAAAATGCTGTTTACATCAAAGTAGCTAGTTAGACAGACATGAACCATGACTTGTAGGTAGTAAGGAAACACGGGACATTTAAGACAATATATTTTGATAGAAAGCATAGCAAGCTATTCATATTCATGTAGGTAAGTATGAACAAGCATATTAATAGATATAGTTTCTAGCTACAGACCACAATTTTATTAAAAATGAATTATAAACATTATGCAGTTTACTTTTACAAATGTACTTTAGATCAGGAAAAGATCAAAAACGAATTAGATTAGAAACAGGTTTTTTATCAAAAAAAGCTTTACATTTAATAGAAGTCCTAGCTGAAAAATGTGAACAACTTAGACCATCCGTGACTTGTTGTATATACAAATAATACACATTGTGTGTGTTATAGACATAGTAAGAGTGATATATATATATATATATATGTTTGAATAAAGTTTTAGAGCTTGAAAAGAAAGAAAATATTCTGAGACAATGAAGAGAATTGTTTGCAGAATCTGAAATATCTAGTGGACATTTACCACTGTTAGTCAGTTCAGCCCTTAATAGGCACTATAAATATAATGAAATATAGTTTTAAGGTATGCTATATTTATGGGCTCAATATCAGGGGTTGAGCATATGTAAATACAAAAGTGGACATTGATGTCAACACCCAATGGCAACAGTGTGTTTTATTTAAGCATGCTAGGTGTTGACATCAACATCCATTTTTATATTTACATATGCTCTATCCCTGATATTAACCTATGAATATAGCATACTTTGAAACTATATTTTTTATATATATATATATGTATATAAATAAAAAAAGAAAGAACAGTAAGATATAAAATCCGTGTTCTTATAGATATTTTATTTTTACAAAATAGTGCTCATTGTAAATTTACAGAGCATTAATATTATAAATTAATTGATTTAAAATATGTTTTTTTAGGGATAAAAAAAAAAACATATTTTAAATCAATTAATTTATAATATTATATATATATATATATATTATACAGACACACACACGCAAATATGGCCTAATAAAAAGCTAAAGAAAATATTTGACATCTGATAATTATGTAGACAAACATTGGTAAGAAATACTTCACATTTGCATTTGTTTATCTACATATTTTATATATATATTATTGTATTAAGTTGTAAACAAATAATTCTAAGTGCTACCTGTTCAGGTAAAAAGATACTCTCAATGCAGCCCTGTACAATTTGGCTACACTTGCAAGAATCTAGTAACCTTACCTGAGGTTAATATTGTGTGTACGCAATATGTCAACTTCTTTCTCAAGTTCTGGCATTCTGGACAACTGAGATTTCATGTTTTTCATTATAATGGAATCATCAGCAAGCCTTTGCACCTTCAGTTCCAAATCCTGAGTTTAGAAAAATATATCATGTGACTATTATAATAACAAAAAAAAAAACAAAAACAAAGATAAAATTCATGAAAAGGAAAAAATGACATCAACAAATGTGGGACAATAATTAAAACAATATATGTGTGAGAATTTTCAAAAGAATTTTCTTATATTTCTTTATTATTCTTATAGGCTATTATTTTTTTTCTTATATTTCTTTATTATGGCTATTATTGTTTTTAACAAGAAGAATTCAGTGTTTTTTTAATCTATCTTTTTTGACATATTAAGAATAATCTGCCAAAGTATTTTTCATCTGTGCAACATCAATAGGCACCAATATGAAATTGAAACACTAAATATGATTTTTCATTTATTTGACCATGATTTTAGCAAGTATCACAACACTGCTTTAAAATTTTGCCTTTTTAAAATTACAAAAGAGAAAAACAGATCAAAAACCAATTTGTATATTCTTATTTAATAAATTCAAAAGAATAAATTTTATCAAAATATATCATAAAAATATCATTTGTGCTAAAAAAATATCTAAAATGTTAAAAGTTGCATTAAGTAAAACTGATTAGCAATGCTAGCAACTACCCAACCCTAGGAAATTCAAACAAACAAATTTGCAATGTTGTTTGTATGACATTGAAATACTCACTTTGACAAGCTGTTCTGAAAGATTGGCTTTGTTTTTGTATGGCTCCAATTCTTTAACTTGATCTTGGGTTTTACTCAATTTACTGTAAACAAAAAGCAATGTAAAATCATTTTAGAAAACCTTGGTTTCTTTAAGATAAAAATCATTTTTTTAAAATTATCAATATTTCATTCCTACATTGATAAAATCTTTTATTAAAATTAGGGAACAGTAATTATGAGTGAAAACAAGATTATCCTTTTGTTACTGCTGCCTTAGCAAAACTGCATTTTCTTCAGGTTCTGAATTGAGTTTCCATTATTCCATCTGATGCATTCAGCAGAGGAGGGGCATATTCAACAAAAAAAAAATTAAAGTTGCTTTTTCACTGCAAATTATTCATTATATCATATCCAAGTATTTTACAAAAATTAGAGCTAATTACATAATATTCCAAGCTCAATTTACGTTTATAGTTCATAACCATGCAATGAGATGAGGTAGCATAAACCGTAGATTTGTCTGTGGAATAGCATTACATTATTGTCACATAATTATAGTAAAATCATTAAGGTTTTTTGTCAAAAGTATTTTATTATTGGTTGTATATTAATTTAAAATATTCCTTTTTACAGGATTTATTTTTGGAATGGTATAAGATCATTCTAAATTTCAGAATTTCATTATTGCCTATCAAAATGACTGGAAGAAAGTGATCTAAAAACAACAATGAAAAAGAGAGGTAACAAAGCATAATCAAAATAGCTCCAGTTTGTTCAATTTTGGAAACTTAGCATTGCAGTCAAAGTATTCTAAAATGCTGCCAATAACAAAGGAGAAAATGAAAAATACCTACCAACAAATCAAATATAGCATCAAAATTTATATTATTTTTATTTATTTATGCAACTAAATACATAATTGTCAATGTTTCCGTAAAACTTGATATTTCCTGTAATAAATTCTTAATAAACATTATTATTTTACTTAAGTATAAGGTAATTCTGCATCTACAATTCCTTAAGGCTAACCATGAAAAGAAATGTTGATCAAAACTGCCTAAAACCTTTAAGCATGCATTGCCACAAAATTATCAAATGTTGCATATGCCCCTGCTCTGCTGAATGCATCATATATTGTTCAGCTTATTTATCTTTGTTGTTTTATACACAATATTTCAGTCAAGATATTCTACAGAAACCTGAAGAATTTATTAGCCAAAACAGCATCTTAACAAAGATGAAAACAGAAACCAAAACAATATGGAATCAAGCAAATTTGTACATTATAAAGCGGTATTCTTTCTTACATTTCCAGGCATTTTTCATGAGTGCAAAAATTGCATTTAGAAAAGGAAAATTACAAAAATAATATCAAATATAAATAGTTTATTAATGGATATATATATGCTGGTTGTCATCATTAATGGTCATTAAGCTAATTTAACTAATATGTTCTTGAATTAAGGATATGGTAAATACTAAAAGGCATGTCATTCAGATGTAATAACATTAACAAACCCAGCTTGTCACTGGTACAAAAACTGTAATAAACAGAATGTGTATATGACAAACTACTAACTTTTTTAAAGTAGATGTTTCATTGTGTGCCTCTTCTAATTGGCTCTGGCATCTTTTATAGGCTGTCTGGACTTGAAATAATTTTTCCATCAATTTAGTGGCTTCCTGCTCATTTTCTAGTTTGGCCTGAAGGAGAAAAAAAGGCTATTGTATATCCAATTATTTTACACAAAGATTCTATTTTAAGACATGTTAGAGTAAAATAGTGTTTGAAAACCATATGCCTGAAATCATTGTATCAAAACAGATTTATGAATAAACATTAATTTAAAGAACTAAAACAAATACACTTTCAATTTCCATTTTTTTTATTTAACCTTTCAATTATTTGAACATTTCATTAATATAAAATATTTAAAAAACTGATGTAATATTAATATAAAAATATTACACATCCTTTAAAATTTATTTTAGTATTATAAAGAGAACAAAAAATATCAATCATTAAATAAATGAAAAAAAAAAAAATCAATAAATGCATTGGCCTCAAAAATTTCACAACAAAATGTTCTTTTTTATAATCATTTCAGTTCGTTGTAATATTGGGCTTGGCCAAAAACTTTCATCACTTATTAAGCAGAAAACTAAACAAACATTTTGGCCAACCCAATGGAAATTGTTAGAACACAATTTTATAAGATTAAGTTCTATCCCATAAGTTAAATTATGACAATAAAGTTTACTTCATGCAAAATTATTTAAAATAATTTTAAATAGGGTCAATTTATCATATAGGAATCTACACAACGGTTTCCTTGTGAATGAAATTTTATTGAGGCAAAATTTCTCATAAAAAATTTGCAGCCTGAAATTATCACTATAATTTAGAGGAAATATGTATCAGCTTTGTTAAAATCAGCCTTGAAATTTGCAATTTTATTTTTACACTTTTATGCTATTTTTTCAGCTTCCTCATAACTTGCTGGATTGATACTTGTTTCACGAGGAAAATATAAAATTCATCAACATAATTGTTTTTTAGTTTTACATTTAAGCCAAAAGAAAATGGATAAATAGAAAGCATGAAAATTCTGTTTTACTTATCAGTTTTTGGAAGTGGGGAGGGATTTTCTAATTTGATCTTTAAAATAAAGCACAAAAGGATGAGTTAAAAATATATATAAAAATGGTTGGCAATCACCACTATATACAATGTTATTTTCATTGGATTCAACTTATTAAGTATAACAAATGAAAGTTTGCTTTGTCAACAACAGAATCTTACCTCCCAGATGTAGAAGATCATCGTGATTCATTTAAATACTTTCTAAAATGAAAATTATCAGCTCAGAATTAAGAGTCTATTTTTCAGATTTGTTAATTAGAAATGTCTAACTGATAAAGTGAATATGTTACAAACCTTTTGTTGTTTGCATTCAGCATCTGTTTTCTCTTTTCTCAGTTGAGTCATTTTGCTTTCTATATTTGTCAAATGATCACTCATTTCTTTATTCTCTTCTTGCAGTTGATTTTCTTTCTGACACAACAATTTCAACTTCATTTTTAGTTCAGAGATTTTCTCTAAACATTGCTGGATAAAAAAAAAAGTTTAACATACAAGTTATTCAGGCTTTTTCACTAATACAAACATTTTTATAATACAAATTCATATATTTCTTTTTATAAAATGCTATTCCTTAATGCCGTTTATAATATATAACTTTATCAAAAAAATGATCAATTTATAAAGTTCATTACTTTGAACAATTAAAAAGTTTATTCTCTCAAAATAATGAAAAAATTTTCTCAAATACAAACTTTTTCTCCCTAACATCTGACCCATGAGATAATCATAATCCCAAAATGAATCTAAGCTGATATTTGATTATTATAAAAATCATAGAGAAGGTCTTAGAAATTTGGTTTAATCCAAACACTGAATATAAAAAAAGGATTATAAAAGATCATTTTGTATTTAAGATAACAATTTCAATTTTAAATTGGATGGCATTAAAGAAAAAGATTTACATTAGTGTGTATCATTTTGCATCAGACTATCACAAGCTGCTGGTCATTATTTTTCAAGCTTTCTTCAATGTTAAGAGTTATAATAAACCAAATGCATAAATTGAATCAAATGCTTTTTGTCTTTTGGTTTGAGAATTTAATGCTGTTCTCTGGAAACAAGAATACCATAACGCAGCATCTGCCAGACAGTTGGGATAAGAATGTAACACTAAACATTCTAAATGGATGATAATTTATCTCAGAAAATGATCTTCATCAAATTTATTATAAAACTATCCAGGTTGTTAAAAGTTAAAAATAGTTTCCAAAAGACCATTATTTGCTTAATTCTATACCTTTTCACACTGATTTTACAAAAAATTAAAAGAGAACTAAGAAAAAAAAAACATATCAAAGAAATAAAAAAGAGGAAGGAATTGATATATCATAAGAATCAAAGTGCTTGTAAAGGCCTTTTGGTTTATAAAAAAATATTTATTGTATTAAGACAGAGCAATGATGGAGGGGTCAAGTGGACTAACTAGCTGAAAAGAAGAAAGGAGATATTTATGTTGGAATCAAAACAAGTTCTATTCAGTTCAATTAAAGGGAATTTTCAGATCCAATTTCAAAACTTTAAGGCATCCAATGAAGAAAAAAAAATGACCTATTTTTAAAAAATAAGAAATCTCAACAAATGTCTATGGAGAATTCTATAAAAAATATCCCACAAGTTTCTGAACATTTTGTGACATAATCAGAGACAAAACATCATGTTTATACATTAGATTTACCTCTTTTTCATGTTTTTCTACATTGAGTAATTTGTCTGCTTCAATTCTCTCTCTCTCCAGTTTGGCTTCCAAATTAACAATCTGAGTTTTGAGTTGAGCAATGTCACTTTTATCAGCCAAACGCTCAGCCTCTTGAAGTTTTTCATATGCTGCAAAAACAGAGACAGAAATTCTTAAATACATTAGACAATATCTTATTATGCATTCAGACAATTATTATGAACTTATTACTCAGATTTGTTTTTTGTCATTGTTATGAAATATCTAATTTATAAAAACATATCATTGTTGGCATAAAGAAATTTCTTAAAAATTAGACTATCTTCTATATAATAAATGCAAAAATGTCTGTGTGGGTCACACTTTTTTCTGTAAAGGGACACAACTCTCTAACTTTTAAATATTTCATCTTCTATATAATAAATGCCAATGTCTGTGTGTTACTGTGTCACACTTTTTCCCCCTTTACTCCTAGAGGCCATAGCCCAACATATCATACCATTTTGGAATCAGGTCGACTTCATGAGCAATTTAAAAATATTCCAGGCCAAATCTGGACCAGCAATCCTGAAATTTTGGATTCCCAAGTTTTCATTACTTGCAATTGTTTTCGGCAAATTTTTTATTTGATATTTGCAACAAATTTTTTTGTATGATAAGAATTTTTATAACTTAGAAATAAATTTGGAAATAATCAAAATTAAATGTGAAATCCAGCAAAAGTCAGCCATGAAATAAAAATAATTTTTTGTATGGAAAGTAAGGACCTACGTATATCAAATTGTCTTTAACTTAAGTGGTGGCAGAAGAATTATTGTTGAACTTTTAAAAGGTAGGCTTAAATACTAATGCAATACTTAAATGCAGTGATCAATTTTGAGTTATTCTGTAGTTTATTGTTGCCTATTGCAACTACCCCTCCCTACCTATTGTGATGAAGGCCCAATCAAGAGCCCTAACAAGAGGTAGCTTAAATGCTACCCAATAGGGTGGCTTTTAAGCTAATTTATTAATAATTTATATCTTTTTATTAAGGTAGGAGAAATATATTCAAGGGAGATAATTTATTATTTTCATTTAACTTTCGGCAACTTTTTAATCTTTTTTCTTCAACAATTAAAATAAAGCATTTTAAACTGATATAGATTATCATTGTATGCAGTTTTTCACTGTCTTTGTTGCTTGTTTTTGCACAATTTTTCCACCGTGTACCCTCTACCTTTCTTCAGGTGTCTGTTGCATTCCAAAATGTTATAGGGAGCACGTACACCAACTCCTCTCATATGTCATGTCTAATTTTTTTTCCTCCCTGAGACCATATTCATCCAACCTCTGAATTGACTGAGTAAACTCCTCTGAAGTTTCGTATGTGCCACCAAGTTCATCTCAAGTTCAGTACCAGCTCCATCCTGATTAATGGTACTTACACTACTAATGTTGATACTCATTTTGCTTATTGAACCATCAAGAGCAAAATATATAGGAAGATTGCTTCTGTTTCCTTATTCACCACAGCTTCTTTGTTATATTGACCTCATTCCTCAAAGATTGGTTTATCCCTCTCCCCCTCCACATATGGTCAACAGTACCAAATTTTAAAGTGTCTCCACACCTCACACCATTAGCAATTTCTTTTGCATTCATATTTTGCTCATCTTTTTGAACATTTACTCACAAGCACACAAAATGCTGTCTTTCCAAGAAGCTGTTTGTTCCACAATCTGTAATGTTTCTAACTTGTTGTTTAAAGCAATTCAGTTGGAAATATGAAAATGTCTCTCTAGAGGTAAATATACACAGATTAATTTATATGCAGGTGTGCTATATACATGTATAATTGATCAGAGATTAACGTTTAAAAATAATTTTAATATATACTGTATAAAAATAAATATTCAATAACAAAAAGTACAAATACCTTATGAAATTCAGTTTCATAAATGTGTCCTAACTTTTACTTAATCCAACAACTCACACCTGCTTGTCTTTTAAATAGATATGGACAAGTGGATAATTCAGAACAAATTATAAAGAAAAACACAAAAGTGAAAAAATATTTTCTAAAACATGTTGTACACATTTTCAACTCAGAAAAGCAGGAAAAGGTTATTTAATAAAATCAGCCTCAAAGACAGTGCTTCGATGAAGTGTCAGAAGCAACTTGCATGATTGGATCAGGTGATTGCTGTTCTTAGTTGCTTTTAACAAGTCTTTGGTATTATGGAATTGCTGGTTGGTCTTAACAACATTCCAAATCAGGAGAGATATGTAGCAACATATATGTTGTATGTGGGCAAGAGCAAAGTCCTGCTGAAATATGTACAACCACTCCTTTGGTACCAAGCTTGAACACTCTAACAAGCACCTCAATGTGAATGACAACATTGACCCTGAAGCCCTACAGGAAGAATTGGAGTGGCATGCATAACCATTGTTTTTCTTGCTCCCCAAGACCATCAAAAATGGCGTGAACTTTGTGTGCATCTCCATGGGTACCTTCATGGGATCTGTGCAGCCACCTGGCCATTTTCAAACAGCCCACAGTCTCCAAGTCACATGAGCACAGTGTGCTTTTCATTCCTATGCCAGATTGGAAGCTGTCATGCTAATGCTCTCAATATGTCTGAAAGAGAATCTGGCATATGCCAAACAACATTATGTTAGGTATTCTTCTATTTATAGCCTGCTAAAGATGCATTTACAAATATATCTGACACACACTTTCATACACACACACACACACTTTTAAAAAGACGCAAATATCAATATATACATTACCTCGTTTTGAACAGAAAGCATCATTTTCATTGTTAATATCACATTCTGTGAGTGTCTCATCAAAGTCCAATGTACACTTAAGACTCTTTCTTTTTCGTGAATTGCCACTGTTGATGCTATGGTGCTCCCCAATGAAGGCTTCAAAATCTCGCCTCATGCGAGTAATAGTTGTCAGTTCTTGCGGACTGCTCATTGCTGTCAATTTGTTGCATAGGATATAGCCTGAAAATATCAAGTATATATTATGATATCTAGAGATTTGGGATATGATTTGCCACTGACATTTAGATTCTATCATTAAGGAATGTGATGAACTATTTGTGAGAAAAGAGAAAAACCACAACAGAATCCATTTACTAATTTTTCAAGAAAAGTCCTTCAGCAAAAGTTATTATCTCAAAGGAACACAGAAAGAAAATTGAAAGTAGGAATAAAATAAAAACATGTATGAATTCTGAAATTTACAGATCCCACAAAAACTCGAATAGAAAATAATAAAATAAGAATTTTAGCATAAACTTATATTAAAATTGTATGAAGAAATATTGACTTAATTCAGTATTAACTACAACTGACCTGTCTGGATTAATTGTTCTTTTTTTACTTCTAATATCAAAGCAGGAAAGATAGTTATAGAAGAGTGGTTTGTCCAGCTGCCCAATTTCTTCTCTGTTCACTATCATGGTATATATGCATTTATAACTTTACAATTGTTTTTGTTTGTTATTAGCATGAAGCTTATATGCATGACAAGGCTCAGATTAATCTAAAAATCAAGCATATAAGATTTCTTTTAATGCACCTTCATTAATCATGAAGTGAAGGTCATTTTTTTTTTTAAAGTAAAATTTCACCTTGCTCAAATTATAAGCATAAAAAAGGACTCAAACAGTAGAATTTGCAAAGCATGACAAGGCTTTGATAAAAGTTCCTGATGCTTGTTTAAAAAAAAGCAAAAGAAAAAGAGAGCGTACTTTTTGAAGACACATAAAAGATAAATATTAAGTTAACTTAATATCATATGCAATGAGAATAAAACCATTAAAATCATGTTGATTGATTTGTTTAACATAGGTACCTCCACGAGATCGCTAAAAAAAGAGCATAGCATGATGAAAAAGACGCCCAACTTGACGATAACAAAATTTTATCGTCTAAATGTTTGTTATTATTAAGAGGAAAGGTCAAAGTATTTTGGGGGTATTTTTTTCCATTTTTTAATCGTTCCTAGCACGTCCGAAATTTTCGTTAAAAATCTATTTTTTTGAGTCAGCAAAATTGACCATTTTTTTTCCATTTTAAAAAAAACTGGAAATCTGACTTTGAAATTTTTAAAATATCAATTATCATTTTTTCAAAACTTATTTTAAGAAAATCAGAAATTATAATGTTTATTTAAAATATTTTGAACCAAACTTAACTTAGCTTTTTGTGCCAAAAGATGTAATTTGAAAATAAAACAAAGCAGGTCATAAACTTTCGCGTCTCTTGACATGTGATGAATGATATATTCTATTTAATTCCATGAGGCTAATTTGTTCTCTGGAAGGAGAAAAGTGAAATAATTTACATTTACGTGAACAAATTATTTACCCCGTTATTTTTAACGAAAACTTTCAGCGGTCTAATTTTTTTTTTTTGTACTTAGCTTTCACCTTTACGTTTATGATGCTTTATGGGAAATATATTTAAAGAAATTAAAATAAAACTGTTAAGAGTGACATTAAATTTCATATTTCTTAAGAAAGGTATCTAATTAATTTATAGGTACCTTTCTTATGAAATTTTATCAGAATTGTACATAAAATACTATAATTTTATGTACATTTATTACATTCTACTGTTATTTATATTTGCATTCATTTTATTATTAATTTTGATATTTCATTTATGGAAAAATGTCGTAACTGAGATTAATATAAAAATAAGATCATATAAATTTCATAAGATGATACTGATACTTGTAGGTACCCCTTCTCAGTTGAAATTGAAAAATCAAATTAACTTCTCCACACGTGTTTCATAAAAAGTAAAGGCCTTAACAGCGGAGAACAATGCTTAACTCAAATAACGCATCTAATTATATTCTGGTTGGTCTTCCGTATTTTATAATTACAGCTCGATTATAAGCACAAAATTACATTTCTTAATTACTGGGTATCTTCTGATTAGTCAAAATGATACAATTTACGAATGACTAAAAAAAGATCTATCTCATAAGGACACTTATGAAAGCCGATGCAGCTTTTTTAACTAATTTTATAATATTTTAACAACTTAAATGTAAAATGTATTATAATTAATGAAATAACAAATAATTGTATTAAAAATTCATTTTCATCGAAAAAATATTTTTTGCTTTCAGAAAATATTGTCCATATTCATAAAAACAACTAAAAGCAAATAAAAGCATTTGAAATTAAATAATATCTTTGTTTTATTGAGTTTTGTATGTTACAATTCAGAGCTGATTTTCAGGTACTGCGTATCCAATTAAAAACAAAAAAAAACATGATTTGCATTCCTCAAAGCCCTGTGCTTTTAATTATTGTAATCACTAAAACCGATGCGATCGAATTTCTAGCATTTTCATAAAATTAGTTATGGGGGGGGGGGTTAATAAATATTTTAAAAAAATATTTCTACCATGACTTTCATAAAGAAAAACATATTTATAATAATTTCGATCATCTGTGAATAGTTCCTGAAAGTTTCATTAACATCCGATAATTATTTCTATTTTTGCATGATTTTTCAAATTAATGTGTGTCATACCAAAAAAACGTGCTAAAAATTGTCTATGTTATTTACTAGTTCCGCTGATACAAATAGAAAAAAGGTTTTTTTAATCAAAATTTAGAATGTTCTAAAAGAAGGAAAAATTTTTAAAAATAATTAAAAAAACTTTGGTCTTTCCTCTTAATAATAACATAAGCATTTAGACAATAAAATTTTGTTTTCAGCAAGGTTGGCGTCTTTTTCATCAAGCTATGCTCTTTTTTTAGCGATTTCGTGGAGGTACCTAGTTTAACATCATGTCAACTCCTTATGGGTCATTTAATGCCAAAGTTAAAATCACATAATTTATTCTATGAATTAAAATGTATTATAACTAGCAGACACCAAACGGTGAAACGCATTGGACTACAATCTGTGAGTATTAAGATGTGTGTGCCAGTGTAGTGTGTGATGTCCATGCCTAACCGCCACAAATTGCTATCCACTTGAAGTTTGCCATTTGCCAATGAACCGGAGCCAGACATTCTTTGCAATCTTGTATTGCTGACTTGACAACTGCATTCATAGTCAAGGGACACATTCTTCAGACAAAGTAGGCTATACACTGAATACCAGGATGTCCACTTTGATGGTGTATGGCCAGGAACTGCTCAGATGCCAATTATTCTGTTAAAACAGTTCACATGACTGGCAAGAGGTTGTCAGTCCTTTTGTTTGATCATGTCAAGCTACTTTTTTGGAACCCAAGTTAGCTTATCTGCTAAATTCTGCTCCAATGCAATCAATCAAGCAAGCAAATTATATTTGTCAGTCAACTGTTTTAAGGTTGCAACCTTCATTGTATTAACATCTTGTTTGAGGCTTTGGTTCTTACTAAGGATTTGCCTGTCAAGGTCAACCAGTGGTAAACACATACAGAGTTTGTATATAGATGCACCACCTTATATTGCCACTGTAGTGTGGGGTTAAAACCTTTTAGGATGGTGTTGAGTTTCACCAGATTGATATGCTGAGCATTGTTGAAAGAAGGCAGCATGAGTCCGCCAGAATAGCACCTTGTCTTTCCAATATCACGCCTGTCACATCAACCCATGCATTAACTTCACTGGTTACATACCAGTCACCTCAGGCAGGACCATTTTGGTGCACTTTGGTGATTACTTTGGCCATCACCTGCTTGAGAGGGATGTCATTCAATGTACCATCCCATCCTTTTGTTACCACAGTTGATTGCTTTTTCATTACTCCGTTTGCTGCACAAAGCCACCAACAGACAGGAAAGTGTCTTACCAACTTCCCACAAATAGGAAAGACATTACAGCAGGGAGTTCTGGAACTGCCCCCCCCCTCGCTTCAACCATACTCTCACACAAACTTCAAGGCCAAATACTAGAGCCCTATCTTTCAGGCGCTTGGGATCCTTACTGGTTTCTCCTTGACCCCATCCACAGACCTTATGCTGTCATTTACATATATACCATCGATATAAAATGAGGTGGCTCTCATTATCATTTCCTCTTGAGACAACACAGTCTTGATGATGGCTTTCATAATGAGAGGTGCCACATTGAGACCAAATCCAACATGTGTCAAGCAGTATCATTCTCCTTTTATTATTACCGTTTGAAATGGTCACAATGACTCATGGATGTATATCTGGAGATACAACCTCCATCGATTAAACCACGTTGACACCTTGCTGGCGCCACTCCCATAGTTTGGCAGCACATACATCTGCAATGAAGGCAGCCACATGGTAATCCAAGACCAGGCACACCTTGTCTTTGTTGGGCTGTGCAACAGCCACCAGAGGGATCAAGCTCAAAGGGGAACCTAGTTGTTTCTGGGGTGTGGCATCAGCTAGCCATAAGCAATCCATGTTTGCAACTCCTCTTCATATGCAGCCCTGATTTTGTTAGATACTGCATATTATGTAACTGCATTCTGTAATGGCTCTGGTATTTTGTTCATGGCCCACTCCCACTTTGTAGTCCAGGTTTTCTCTTTGTGGTCAAAAGTAGCACAGGCTTTGGCCAATATCCTGTCGGGGGTACTAATTTTTTTTTTTTTTTTTTTTTTTTACATGCGAGACAAGTCCAAATCCGCTTTCTGCCAAGAGTTAGCCATTTTTTCTAGTGTTACATAACGATCGAATACAAAAAAATTATTTCATCAGCAAGAAGGAAATGTCTTCAATCTTCAAGAGATGAAGAAATTTAAAAAAGTAAGAAAAACGGAAATGCTAACAAGATTTGGTTTGATTTTTTTCATGAAATAAGACACTCGAATACTTAAAAAAAACAGGAAATTTTAAAAAAATATTTATTTACTTCAATTAAATGAAACAAAAGTGATTTTCTGCTATTTTTTTTCTTTTATTTTGGCATATCAACAATTTTCCTTAAATAGCGCCATAAACAAAAGTACTAAAAAATATAGTTTTTAAATGTCTGACCGTTGAGAATGGAACTTAAAAATTTGGTTTACTATAAAAATGAATATTTACGAAGCTATTTTCCGATGTAGTTGTTCTCTTCATTAAAATTATTGTTATTCCTTTGAAATGTTCAGTTTTTTTCAGAATATAAAACATGTGTAATGTAGCGGAAGTGGTAGCGAAGAAAGTGGCTCTAAAGTGAGGGTTCGATTTACAATAAATGTATAATGTCAAACTAGACCCTAATTTTGTGTGCAACATTTTGACATCAAGAAACTAACCGTTATCAGACACCGCACTTTCAAAATACTTAAAAATGCTAAAAATAAAATTTAAAGAAAAATTTATTTCTTATTATGATGGCAAGAAGGAAGAAAAATACGAATTCTTAAAATAAAATGAATAAGTGATTTTTTTTGTTTCAACTTCATATGAAAGTTTTAAAACTAAAAAAAGTAATGATTGTTTACAAAGAATGTGTAAATATAGTTCACTTCTTAAATGAAAACAAAATGTGATTTTCTGCTATTTTTTCTTTTTATTTGGAAATTATAATTTTTATTTTTTAACAAAACAAAATGAATAAAACAAGTACTGTAAAAGTAAAATTGATATTTTGACAAATGAATGAAGTTACGCCAAAATGCTTTACAATTGCTAAAAAATAAATAGAGAATTAAAATTCACCATCGATAAAGAAAAATATAAAATTAATTATTACTTAGCAAATTTGCAGACAAAACTTCTTTTTTTTTTTTTTTTAAAAAAAACTTCTTTTTAAAGTGCCAACAAACGGTAATTTTTTTTGTTATAAATGTTTTGTTTTGAACAAAGCCAAAAATCATTCCGATACATAAAAATTAATATTTCCAAAGTATAATAGCAACACTTACTAACATACCTTGTGAATAAAGAAGTTGCTAGGTAAATAAAGGTCCAAGATTCAGGAATTTTACTAATAAACTAAAAACACAAAAAAAATGTCATGTTAAGCGGCGTGGATTACGCCACTTTACTAAAAAAAATCGTCGCTAGGGGGCGTACCGCCTGATAACGGGGTAACGGGTCGCACATGGTGGTAAAGAAAGTGTATCCCCCCCCCCCCAACTGAGGCATGATCATGTCACTTTTCAATGCTTTATTTTTCTCTCGGACTTCATAAACAAAAATACACATTCTCTACTTTAAAAAATGTTTTCTTTTACTGTCATTGTATATTGTTTTTGTATTATTCATTTATTACTTGAACTCACATTCGAGTCCACAATAATTGTTACGGAAAGAAAGAATATACCAAGAGACACGTGTTTTCTCTAAAACTAAATACAACATTCCCGCAACACCGAATATTTAAAAATTTCTTTTGCATATTCTCAAAACAAAAGCGAATACACAAAAATAAAATAATAATAATAAATAAATATCAACTAATAATACATGTGTAAAAATAATTTAAATTCGATTTAATCATGTTGAACTTTCAAATCTTTTTAAAATGTTCAAATAATTTAATTAGAAAAACTCACAAATAACATTTTGGTTCGAGATTAATTTTCTCCGTCGGTTATCTTTGGCGGTTTAAAACCAACTTACGAAAGCCGACATTCTGTAAAAAATATCTGTAAAACAGTTTTTTGTTTTAAAAAACAATGCTTTAAAAATCAGTCGTAAATAAAACACTCAAATTGCATTCACGGCTAAAGTCTATCTTGGAATAACAATTTGATTTTCTTTTGTTTCCTGCAAAATCGAAATGTGGAAATTAATTTAAGGAGCTTAATGACGATAAATTTCAACATTATTTCTATTTTTCAATGAAGTATAGCAAAAACACCGCAAGTCAACTCAAGAAAAACTGTAGAGACAGAAATTATTAGAAGGATTAAAAAGGGAAAACAAAGGCAACGTGAAAAACAAAAAAGATTACTCCAGAAAAGGCTAACACAAGTTCTGCTATCAAGGCGGAATCTCCAGATTTGGCACTCAAATGTGTAGAAAACATTTACAAGAGATTAATTGGTGATTTAGTCGGCCATGGCATAGAATAACACATTTGGACTGTTAATAATGTTTAAGCGTATGGTGGCAGAACAAGAAGAAACGACAGAGATTTAAAGAATACATATTAACAAAAAAAAATACAATGGTGTGATGTCTTTTGATGAAAGAAATACATGAGGCGTACGGTAGGAGAGGAAGGGTGAATCAGGATTTACTGCAGTGATGGCCTTGTCGTTGGATGTGGAGGTGGCGTTCCGACGAGCGTACGAATTCTGGCTGATGCGCCGACTTACTGTCCAAGATTTCCCTTTGATGGGCTTTTTTCGTAGACTCAGATCGGCTCGAATTCCTATTTCGCTTCTTTAGGTGGGAGTGGGTGGTATTGGGTAAAAAATTGGATTGTATGTTTGGGGGGGGGGAGGAAAGCGGGAGGTGTGTGCGGAGCCGATGCGCACTTGACGGATTTTTTAGTTCGGTCTTGGGTTTAGGAGCATTCACATCCGTTCAGTGGTGGAAATTTGTATAACTAACATGAATCAGAAGAAGATCTGGTTTTAGGAAGATTATAACAGCTCCTCTAGATCTTATTCTTATTCACGGATGGGTTGGTGTGTTGTATGTATGGTGTGGTGTTTTTTGTTGTTTTTTTTTTTTAGTGCATAATGAAGTTTTTAAAATGTTTCGGTAGCTGACCACGTGTGTGTCTTTTGGGATTTCTTCTTTGGAATATCGGTACAGGTGCCTGTGCAAGATCGCTAGATCTGGGGTCCTCATTGTTTACATGGTCATCAGACGAGGGATGAGGTGCGGAGTTAGGTATCGCTTGGAGAGTCTGTGGAGGAGGGAGGCAGTTCGTATAAATAAGGCGGTCAGGCCGAGGTACAAGGCAACGTGCGTGAGCGCGATGGACCCAACTAGTTTCGCCATGATTGTTTACAATTTTGAGTACCATGTCTTTCGTCTTGATGACTTGGTAACTACCTGTGGGCTGTAGCTGAATAAAGTCTGTGAAGTAAGACCTTGTCTCCGACCCGTATCAGCTCTTTATAGATGAGCCGATTCAGCTGTTTGTTCGTCTTGTGGTCGGCCTCATTATTTGCTAGGGCGACGTGTTGGTGAACCTGTCGCAGCAAAGCGTTTATCAGCATGCCGTAAGCACCAGGGTCGTCATTGGAAATGTTCCGGTTGGGTAGTTTAGGCAAACCGATGTTAGGGCGTCGACCAGTAATGACTGATGTAATGCCGCGAAATTCCAGTTGCGCTGTTGGTGGTAACGTTCATAGAACATCGGTCCATTCACAGTTCTTGTCCTTACAGAGCATATAAAGAGCGTTCTTTGATGTGCAATGTTGTCATTCGATGTTGCCGGAATTTATGGACGCTAAGTACAGTGAAATGTGCTGCTTGACTGATGTCATCTCGCAGAAATTCTTATAGACTTCGCTTGTGAAGTGGGAATCACGGTCGGAAGATACAATACAGAGTATCTCCCAGTGGCGGAGGAAGAATTGGTAGAGTCCGCGAGCCGCGTCGATGCACGGTCTCTGGCACAGGTAATGGCTAAAATCGTTAGGATATAGTGTTTGCCATTTGAAAGTGGCATCATGACGAAGTCTGTGTATACGACTTCGAAGAGTCTTTTGCCTCGCTTGCAATGTCCGCTGAGCCAGTTTGGGCGCTTGCCGTAATTCCCCTTGCGTCCAGCGCAGGTATTGTATGATTCGACGTATGCCGTAATGTCGCGATTTTTGAACTCCCACCAATAGTTTGATAAGTGAGTGCGCATCCGAGAAAAAACAGAGTGATTGATGCAGTCCTGGGCTTGGTGTAAGTATTTGGCTCGTAGCTTGTGAGGTACGACGAGTATGGGCGTATTTTGGGAGTCTTTTAGCATCAGGACGGATGTCCTGGTTCAAAATAGAACTGTTGTAGGTGTTTTTGATAGATTAATAGCCCGGTGGTCACTGGGATCAATCGTGATGTTGAGTGTAGATGCTTCACCTGAGACACACGGCTTGTAGTGCTTTGACGATCCTTGCCAGCATATCGTCAAAAGCTTGTTCAGCTGCGATGTTAATGTAGTCGGATACTTCCTTTGTGGGGATGGTTGAGGCGGCGTGACAGGCAGAAAAAAAAATGCGTCGGCGGCCTGTCTGTGAAGTTTGCGGTTCTGTGGCATGTGTGTTACAGGGAGCAGTTGTGTATCCTTGATTTCCCCGAGACACCACGACGGGACGTAGATGTTAAGTTCTGAGTTATGAAGTCTGAATGTTTTGCCCTTTGCAGTCGGATTGGACGGTGGGTTGGTCTCCTTTATGTCAGCTCAAACATTAGAGCCGCCTTCCATGTATTCTAAGACTAATTTATAGCTGGATATTTCTTCCTGGCAACGTCGAATTTTTGCGTTATTGAATTCACTCTGGTCGATATATGTCAAGTGAACGGTGGCCAGTGAAAATAATGGATGGGAGACTTTGCAGAAAGTAATCAAATTTGGATATGGGCCATTTTATGGCGAACTCCTCGGTTCGGTAGTGGACCATTTCTGTTCTGTTGGGGGTGAAGGTGTGGAAAGCAACGGCTATGATTTTTTTCGTCCGTTGTCAGCTTCCTGCATAAGGATGGTACCACACGTGACGTCACTAGCGTCTGTAGTGGTGCAAAGAGTTGAGTGAAATCTGGAAATGAGATGAATGGTGGTGATTATAAGCGTCTCTTAATTTTTTCAAAAGCCTTGTCAGCCTTTTCTGTTGAGTTCGTGTAAAGGAGCCATCAAGTGGAAAAATGTAACAATTTGATTCGTTCATAAAGATGAGTCTCCAGAAATTGGCGTATCCGGACAAGAAATCCTATGAGACTTTGCAACTCCTTTCTTGTAGTAGTTGGCTTCATCTCGACAATGACACGAATCTGAACCCATCGTTATTAACAATGCGACCGAGAAATTTGGCTTCTGAAGCAAGAAAGGTGCACTGCTCGGGGTTAAGTTTCAGTCCGAATTTTTGAAGAGCGATGAATAACTGTTCCAACGCGATGACGTAGTCACGAAAGGTTTGGGCGTGGAGAAGGTTGTCGTCAATGTATGATGAAATATTATCCCATGAAGTGATGGTGGTCAGTGCCTCGGCTATGCACCGAAAAAATATTTGACCAGCAGATGTTAGACCGAAGGCTAGGCGTGTATATTGGTAACATCGACCCTTTCATGTGAATGCAGTTTTGTGGCGGTCACGTTCATCGATGGGGATTTGCCAGTATCCGCTGCGGAGATCAAAGGATGAAAAGTATTTGTTTCCCTGGCATATCTTGTTAAAAATGGAATCGATCGTGGGCATCGGATAAGGGTCTAAATCTGTGAGTATCTTGTTAAGGGTCCTCTTGAAATTGGCTACTACACGGATTTGTTCGTTTTTCTTTCGAACAGCAAAGACAGGGCTGTTGAACCCTTTCGGATCAAAGCGGAGTTCAATGATCCCTTCTGTGATCATACGTTGAATCTCAACGTCGTTGGCTGCGGGACTGGTCATTAGTGGGTATGCGCACTGGCTTAATGAATGTATCCTGATTGTCATTACCGATGATATTGGCGTATTTGACGAGAAGGATTACTGTTACTTCTAGCTCATCACGGTTGGAAGGAGGGGGACGACTATGCCTGTGTTTTTTCTAAGCCAGTCCAGGGTTATTTCGTTGTGCCCCATTCTCGTAGAGGTGTTCTTGCCATGCATTTGGTCATTTATCTGTCGGTGTATCTGATGTATTTTACGCTTCAGGTCGGCGAAATCCTGATAGAAACCTTGATTCGTTTGTGTATGTGGTCGCTGTCTTTGCGCGTACATTACGTCTGCGGTTACATTGACGGCATTGTGGAATTGTCTTTGGAGATGGGAGACCAGTTGTCTTTAGGTGTGGAGATGGCGTTCAGACGAACGACTGTCCAAGATGTCCCTTTGATGGGCATTATGTTCGTTTCGTAGGTTCAGACCGGCTCCAATTCCTATTTCGCTTCTTTAGGTGGGAGTGGGTGCTATTGGGTGAAAAATTGGATTGCATGTTTTTTTTAGGTATTTGAGGAAAGCGGAAGATGTGTGCGGAGCCGATGCGCACTTGACAGAATTTTTAGTTTCGTCTTGGGTTTCGGAGCGTTCACATCCGGCCAGTGATGGAAATTTGTGTAACATGAATCAGAAGATCTGGTTTTAGGAAGATTATAACAATCAGTTATTTGTTGGTTGAATGTCAATGGGTTTTGTGACCCATATTATGTTTTGTCTTTTTTTTTAATGAAAATGAAAACTATGATTTGGCCAAATGTGAAATGGCAACTGATTATGGCATGCATGGTTTAAGTATATCATACAATTATCTATCCGTTCTTGGTATGACGATAAACTACATCCAGCAGCAAATCATATGATCGGGAGTTTGGAGGTTTTGAGGCGCATGGAACCACCTCTTAATTGTTGTTGTTCCCAGGTCCACCATGACCCGGAGTGGTAGTACCTGTTAGGGTCCCAGCTATGAGAAAATAGCAGAAAAAATAACGGTCATTTTCAATGGCCAACACAATGGCCCTTTTCAGGGCCACCAAATTTCCGCGAAAGTCTGATCCATGCATTGCATTTTTCTTTAATTTTTATGCTTCTATTGTTACTTTACTGAATAAATAAATAAAAAGTGTAAATGATTCCATAATTAGTAAAAAGAATTCATTTTCAATAATGTCATATAAGCAAGATTAAAAAATATGGATTAGAAATTAACATTAAAAAAATGTATAAAATTTCAAATAAGAAGGATACCTACAATTATTAGCTACCTATTCTATGAAATTTATATAGTATTTTTTGTATTATGTCAGTTATGACATTTTTTTTCTATGGGACATTTTAAAAATTATTAAAATGAGCATAAAAATAATACCTTAAAATTTCATAAGTGGACTTAAAAACTATACTGTAATTTTATGTACATTTCTTATGAAATTTTATCTCACTCAGCATTTTAATTTTTGTATAATATTTATAATTTTTCCAAGAAGTATCAATAAACATAAGGTGAAAGCTACAGTAGTTAAAAAAAATTCAAATTCAAAAATATTACACTACTGAAAGTTTTTCTTATTTTAATAATTAGGAGGTAAATAAGCTGGTTCACGTAAAACAAGAATGATTACGTCACTTCTGTCCTTCCATATGAACACTTGACTCTCACGTTAGATGTCAATACATGAAATCATTACTTGTCCATCATCACCGTTGTTAAGACATGTTTTCTCTTATTTTAAGCAACATTTTTCTGCGAAGAAAGTAAGTAATGTTTGTTTCAAAATATATTAAATAAACTTTAAATTTTCTAATTTTCTTCAAATAAATTTTGAAAAAGGTATAATTGATTTTTTCAAGATTTTTAAACGGTGAATTTGACTTCTGTTTACAAAAAATCCTTTAAAAAATGGCTGCAATATCGATTTTTTGTAATTTCGCTGACTCAAAAAAAGATTTTTAACTAACATTTCGAACGAGCTAAGAAGGATTAAAATTTTTCAAAAAATAATCAAAAAATAATTTGGTCTTTCTTCTTAACATGTTCAATAATGCGCCAAAGAACAAACGGCCTAGCATGATGAAAAAAGGCTCCAAACTTAATAAAAACAAAATTTTATCATGAAAAAATTGTTTTTAATGAAAGGAAAGACCAAAGTATTTTTTAATATTTTTTTTTTCATGAAGATGTGGAATATTCCACATTAGCCTTTAACCTCCTTCAGAAAAATGTATTCTTCTTTGAAAAGCCTTTAACCAATCATCATCTCGTTTTTGCATATCTAATCTTTTTATTGGTTAATAAACACCAAAGTGTAGGAAAATTCCAAACGAATCCTATTTCTCGCCAAGCTCTTTTGAGCCGATTTCGCTACACAAAAAAATCAAATTAACCGCAGCTAACTCA